TAGGCAAATCTTTTCCTTGTAAAACATTTTTTTTCCACCCATTTTCTACCCTTGCAATCAAACTCACCCTTAAAGTGGTTGTACCTTGAAATTCGAACTCCATTTTCACTTTCGTATCAAACAACTAGAAATTGAATTCCATTTTCACTTTCGTATTAAACATTTTTCATGGAATTTAAATCAATCAAACGGACCCTAATAGTTACTCCGGGACATCTCAAGATAATTTTCTAAAATTTTCCATTCGACTCATTCAATTATTTTCCAACAATTTGTTCAATTTATGCTAACTCAACTTTTTACTTTTGCAGATTTTTACCACAAAGCTTCTCATCCTATTCAATATAGGAACACTTGGATTGATGATTGGATGCACATATTTTCTATCAGAAGGGCATAAGAGAGTGAATATTGTTGGATGGATCTGTTCAGCCTTTTCTGTCTGTGTTTTCAGCGCTCCTCTTAGCATTAATGTATATATATAATCACAGGCTCCAAATGTTGTTGGATTTATATTGGGAATATCGCAGACAATTTTGTATGCTATATACAGGAAGAGAGCAACAACTAATTCTACCTGAAATTAAGTTGCGAGATATAGCAACTATCAAAGACCGAAAACCACAAGATCGCATGCAGAATCCATCAAAGGTGGAGACTGTAGAAATAATAGATCACTATCAAGACAGGCTCTCAGAGGAACAGACTTTGAAGATAGCATCATAGAATATGTTGCAGAAATTGAGACCATCGTGGGAACATGGTCACAACTCACATGTAGAGAAAGTCCGTCATAATTATTTACAAAATATTAAGAAGTTTACTGTTGATATGTGAAGAAAAACTCATTTTAATTTCAACTATTTGGTTAATAAGGAACCCGATTACTTAGCGTGGACAAGTTTCGATTAAATTATATTCTTTATTATCGAAAATAAGTGGGATCGATCGTGATGCCACCAAAAATCTGCACCGACTAGATCTTGAACCGGATGCTTGAGTACCGTACGAACATATCTTCAAAACTTGAAACAAAGGTGTCAAGGGTGTCCTTGTTGCCCTCCGATGTTTAAGTTAGAAAGAAAATTTATGCGAGAAGCTGTGTGCTAAAAACTATGTAAAAAGCATACCTGAATGATGAACTTTGATCATGTATTTATAGATGTTGGTGGTTGAGTTCAAAAAGGATCAAACCACCTGTAATCCTTATCTTTATCGTGCATGGTACTTGTGTTATATCAAAGGTGCTCTGTTTTGAGTTTAAATCAAACAGTGAAGGGTAAGTAGCTCGGATGAGGATAAATGTTATGGAGCAATCAAAGAGAGATTAATGTTTTCAGAAGGTGTGAGTTAAGGATAAGGAAATCGTTTTTATGAAATATGGCCCAACCTTCTAAGGCCCAACCTCAATCCTTGGATAATTGAGGAAGGACAAGCGCGGGCTTTTAAGTTTCGAGCAAAAATTACCTATTACGTTAAACCTAAATAAATACAATTCTTTGCAGTGGTAGAAGTTTGTGCCATCAAATCATCTATGTTTCAGAGTTTCATTTGAATATTAGGCTCGAAAAAAAGTTAATTTGAATAAGTGATGCCCAAATTATCGAGATCGAAAGATATTGCCTTAAATTGTAATTTA